TGTATGATTACCCGAAGGAACCAAACACTAGATCCACATACTACTCTGCTATGTCGAAAGAAAGACATAGTGGCAGTTAAATAATTAGAATAGTGGTGTGATGGAGCTGCCAATATCTAGATTTCATCCCGGCTAAAGGAATCATCAGTTGGCTTTAATCACAAACATGTAGATCTGTATGATTACCCGAAGGAACCAAACACTAGATCCACATACTACTCTGCGAGCAAGCTTTTTACTTGAGAAACAGAATAACGTGTATTTTGGAGAATTTTGAAATGGAACCCAGAGAAAATCTTTAATGAGAAATTTTGTCGAAGAATGTATTCCCCGAAGTACGGAAGATTTTTTTATTTGTGAAGAGAGGAAAAATCAAGGTAAGAATTCGTTAGACTCATGAAATCAACATGAAGCATGCATGTTATTGACTGCATATGGTGTACAAGACTGCCCTCATTAGTATCGGTTCTTGTGGGAACTCGTGTGAAGATAAATGTTAACAGTTTATTCATGACCTTTCTGAGACAACGTGTAGATTGATATTTTGTAGGAGCATTTTTTTTTCGACTTCGAACTGAGGATATATGTTTATTTATGTCACATGATAAAGAAACAAAAAAAAACAACCACGAATTAATTTTAGAATTCGTATTCATCGTCACTTGGTGGAGAATAATGATAAACAGCTAGAAAATGTTCAAAATCGAGGCGATCAAGCAAATCATTTTCGAGATCATCATAACTGTCGTCAATAATTGAATCAGCATCAGATGAATCATCATCAGTAAGTGTTTGTTCATCATCATCATCATCATCATAATAGTAATCATCATCATCATTATCGCCAAGAAAGAAAGTCGGACGAGGACTAACATCTGTATCGCTATTAACAAGATGTAAATGACCAGCAAATCTGTTAATATTATTGAAAAGGATTTCTCGAATATTTTCATCTTTAATTAATTGATGAATTTGATCGATAATGAAATCAAGTACCGAACTTTCTATTGAATATCGGTGATCGAGTAGAAACATAAGTTGATCAAATGATAAATTATCATCGAAAAACAATCGATAGTCACTACTACGAATAATATCATTAATTTTGATTTTTAAGTCATCAGTGATATGATAAATGTATTCATTGTCATATGATGATGATGAAAATGATTGATTAGAAGAAAACTTATTATTTGACATTTCTGAAACAAAAAATAAAGAAAAATTCCAGTACGTCAAATTACATAAAACCGCAAATGAATTGAAACAAAAAAAGCGGAAAATTTTTATTCTTAACGACTGATTCAAGCAAAAGTCCAATTATAGAGAATGAAAGATCTGTTCATATAGATGGGCGTTTAGTATTGTGAAATTATTAGTGATAGTTAGTTACTGTGATATATGTAATAAAACGTTTGAACTTATATGAGTGAGCGAACAAAAATTGACAGTTATTATACATATTTCTTTTTCTTTTCGCTGTGTTCATCTCGGTTAACTGTCAAGTGACCTTTTGACTTATCCAGGTTAGTTTTACTAATTCTCTCACTAACTGTTATCCATCTAGTTCGTTTTTTTCCGTTCTGTTACTAACGTTCTTATGTCTGGTCTATTTAAAATTCGTCTTATGTGCTATCCATAATTGTTCCTGGATATTTAATTTAATTATATTTTAAAAGTGTTATACATCAGTTCAGTTCTCTAGAAATTCTCTTAGTATTTATCAGCGTGGATCGAGCAGCAGATATTCTTAGTGTATTTTAAGAATACGAATCGAATCTTTCACTTAATCGAACTTAGAGTATTGTTTCCAATAAGTTTTGTTCCCTACTTCTACTATCTACATGGTGCAAAACGCTGAATTCATTGTTTTATTCTTTTTTGTGTTTTTACAATTTTTTTTTAATAAAATGTTAGAAAAAGTGATGATATGCAAGAAAGAAAGAAGAAAGTCGACATTTAGAATTCTTTAAGCTTCTGATATCACAGTGTAGCAATTATGGTTGTCATTTGTCAAAAACAAAAAGGACAAACTTGAATTAAATGCATTCGGTTTACAGAAGTATATTCGAAGATATCTGTACATGAACGACATCTACGATCACTTTTTTCGCATTGACTACTTTCATAATACCCGCTTGTTTCTTTCATTCTTCGACAATATCACAAAGCTGATATTTTCTTTCTATTAATAGTTTCTCATTTTTAAATTTGAACATTTCTTTTCAACGGTCACATAACAGATTTCTCTCTCCTTCAAGTATAAATACAGATACTTTCAGGTGAATATGTTAAATCTTTCTTTCAACTTCAGAAAAATCGTTCTACTCTTTCACTTCGTGCTGAATGGCTTCATGTGCTCTTCGTCGTAAGTTGCTTCACACTCTTCAATAAGTTTCTACGAATTTCATTGAAGATCATCGTCATCAATATAATCGTCAACAATAACCACAACAACATCAACAACATATCATCATACAACAACACATCTTTATCATAGTCATTCTCAATTGTGTGATGTCAGATCCGGATGTAGTATTCAGATTTGAGACGAGGTTAAGTTGAGAAATGGAGAAAGCCGCTTTAATTTTGGAAGGCCATTGAAATTAATTTTTCCGTTTATCGTTTTTGTGTTAGATACAAGTTCAGAATTCCACTGTTTTGAGGCGTTGGATGTTTGAACTGATTCATGTTTGATGGACGCATTTGATTTTTTAAGTCGTTTTCGTGACGTTGGTAGGTCTACTTCGAGCGTTATGCATGGATTTTGGAATTGTGGAATGGTTTATTGTAGAAGCAGTGTTAACATGATTTTGAGATCGTTTTACCGCCAAGCATATAATTGTAGATAATGGGTCCGCTTTGAGTTTGTAATATGTTGTTGGAACACATAATTTGAGAAGCTGTGGCCGATATGTTCGTGTTTTTTTCTCTAGTTTGAAATAAAACGATGTGCAAGTTATTGACGCGTGTACGAGTTTGTGTAAAGGCATTTACAATTGAGAAGCCATCCATTGAGTAAATTCACAGAAGGGCATGATGTAGTTAGGAAAACATTTCTGTAAATGTATCGCTGGTCACTGGGAGGTTTCCTTGTAGCACTTTGTTCTCTTTCTATTTATAGATATTGAGTCGTCGTTGACTGGAATGTAAACCACATGCTGTTTCAATTTTTAATCTACAATAGAAATCATTGATGAGTGTTTTCGTTGATGTCGAGGATTTTGTTTTTTATTCTTTATAGGTATGGGGTTTCATTTTTTATGAGGGGATTTTATATATCAAAGTCGCCAAAAGATTGTATGTGTTTCTGAAATGTGGGGTATGCCTCCTTGGTACATATGTTCTTTGTTGTTTTTGATTGTATCGATTCATTTGAAGTAGTTCAACGATAATACATGGTTTCAGATATTGGTGATTTTGAATATGATGCACAGGCTTCAATCAGTTATTCAGAAGTAACGAGGCTTTCGGACGTTTGCGCACTAGTTCACGTCGAAGAGTGGGATTATTTCGGTTGCCTACAATTAATTTTGTTTCCATTGCATGCGTATTGTGAAATGTTTTTCTCCAGATCTGGTGTATATCTCGTTTATAAGACTCAAGGCGTTTCTCATGAGTATAGTGTAAAATCAAACGGTGCGACCAATGGTTGTCTTTTGCTTGTAGTGTTTTTGACGCCTCTGTTTGTTCTTCTTCTTCTTCTTCTTCTCCTCGGATAATAGCATTTTCCCGGTCTGTACTGTCTGGAATGATTTTTGCCATTTGATGGATTAGTTGCGATTGTTTTTGAGTTGGTATATCGAGCAGCAGAGCGCGCATACGATAGAATTCTTTTTCATCGAGAATCAATGGTAAGATGGTTGGCATTGCTATATCATAATTAATAAAGAATTTCTTGAAATGTGTATCAATAAATTGAGATGGATATCTAGATAAGAACAAAATCGAAGTTCTAAGAAATATAAGAGAAAAGTTTAATACCCATTATACAATAAGGTTAATTTGACGTTACGACGCTCATCATCAAAAGCTTTCAATGTAGTCGAGTACCTAGCTGCTCGAGTAAGAGCCCCTCGAATAATATTTCCAAATATATGACGAGGATGATCCGATTTAAAAGGAATAAGATAAGGCTCAGCCGATTCTTTGTAATACACGGATGTTGATAAGATGCCATTATTGTTTTCAATACGAACATCGAGGAATGTTACCGACTTTCCAATGACTGCAGTTAATCTGATATTCGGATGATAACTATCTGCGTCCTTTAATAACTTTTCTATTGCTGCTATTGGCTGATTTGACGTGAAAAAAACATCATCGATATATCTAAAAATATCACATATGTCAGAAAAACACATTGATAATGTTTAATAGTTTCTATGAAAATGTACCGGCCATAGATCTCGTTAACATTAAGCTGTTGAAGAGCAAATTCTTTTTGCCACTTCCACATGAATATATTGGCTAATGTTAATGTGAACGGTGAACCCATAGCTCCGCCAAGTATTTGTCTGTAGATTTTCTTGCCATCAACAAAAACATTTTCAGTTAAAACTAGACGGGCTAGTTTTCGTATGGCATCTATCGGAATACCTTGTATCTTTCGATAACCATGCTCTATAAGAAATTCACAAAGAACATGTAATGACTCTTCTTGTGGTAACATGGTATAAAGATCAGTGATATCAAATGTACAGAATAGTGTCGATGGTTGAAGACGATCGTTTTCTACATATTGATGAAGTTGCCGGATAAGGTCAGTACCATCAACGATTGTGGTTGATCGAGCATGTTTATCAAATAATGGTCGAATCAATTTATCTAAAAACCGCGAGATACTTGTTGTTGGAGCTTTGATAGTATTTATGATTGGACGAAGTGGTGTATACTTCTATTATTACACAGGAAAGGAAAACAAGTAAAGAAAAAAAGTAAAGTTCAATTTTGTTACTGTAAAATTACTTTGTGTGCTTTGGGAACATAATACATATGCGATAACTCCACTTTCTGTCGATCTGGCATCATTTTATCGTAATGTTTCTTCACCAAAATTTGTTTTTTTAACTGTAGATCATTAAGTAAACGAGTAACTTTATTTATAATATCTTGTAATGGATTTTCCGACAATTCAATATAGGCATTTGTTTTTTCACGATATTCTACAGCTTTTCGTTCATAATCGTCCATCGAACCAATATGGAAAACGCCACTTTTGTCTGTTGGACGAAGTACAAGTTTAGCTTTCTTTAGCTTCCGTCGAATAGATTGGACAAGACGCAGTTCACTATGCACTCGTAAATCGTCATAAACAGATAACGATGACATATGAAGCAAAGTTAATCGATCTTTCAATTCAATAGATAGTAACTTAATCACGAGTGCATTTGGCTTTATATGACTATAATTGGAAAGATGAGAGCCCAGTTTCTCCATTAAATCGTCATGGTCAGTTTGTACTCGAATAAGCCGTTGTTGATAAGGCCGTAAGACACTTTGATTAGGTCGAATATAACTCGGGCCTACACAATTAATAGGAGAATCATTCAAAAAAAAAAAAAAAGGAAAATTAACTGCCACTAGATTGCATTTTTCAAAACAAATCTAACCTGTCGAAGAGAGATATGATAATTCAATATTGTTCAAGGGAAGATGAGCCACGTCAACTATAGTCTGAGGATAAACATCGATGACATTATTTTTGTCAAATCTGAAGCGAGCCCGGTGACGAAAAAGTTTCGTACGATAAAAAGTCATTTCGAAACGGGTTGCACGCTTCATACTATATGTTCGATGCGCAAGAAACTTCCTTGTAGAATTTATTAAAGACATTGCATCATGGCGATTGTTATTCATGGTGAGATGGTTTTCATATAGCTTTAAGTCTTGCTGATATTGATGGTCAATGCGAATAAGCTCATTTTCATAATTACGGAGAAGATCATCAAGCATAGTTCGTTTGAGTTGTTTTAGATTTTTCTCTTTGATTTTAATATCCGAAGAACTGTTGTCATCTGTTAGATTTACATAAGAAATATCGATAGCATCGAATGTTTTCGGTAAAATCCTGCATAAAATACGTTGTTCCAGCATCATCATTTCTTTCCATAGTTCGTTGTATTTTTGCTGTAAGGAAACAAGTCGCTCGATCGCTTCCAGCTATTAAAATACAATATAAGACCTAATTATTTAGAGTATTTTCTTTTTGAAAAATTAGGTATATTTTTCTGAAGTTTCCGATTTAACGTTTATTTAATTTACCTGATTGATAGTCATCCGGTAGGATGAAAGTTCTTGCCAATTATGATTATCTTGTATCTCAGCTCTAAATTGAGCCATATGACAGTTTAGTTTTTTGGTAAAACGCCCTTGATGTAAAGATACAAATTGTTTTAGGGAAGTGTCTATCATTTGAAATGACATTGTTGATGGACAACACAGTGATTGAATAGTTAATTGTTCATTACATTGTTGAAGATACTTATCGATTTCATTTAAATAGTTGATAATATCTTGTTTGATTTGTTCAATATTCCTTGCTTTTTCTATCGTTTTTATATATCCCTATACATTTGATAGACAAAACAGCTATCGACTTCCTTCTCTCAACTTTATACTCACCGGCCAAATATTATTCTGCAATCCGAAATCATAATAAAATTGCCATAGTTTTCTGGAAAGTGTCACACAATATTGTCGATCGTGTAATTTCAATCGTGTTAAAGCGAAAACTTGTTCCTTTGCTTTCTTCAATCGATGTTTTAGATGTAGTCGTAGGGTACGAAGAAGGACAAATCGTGCCATTTTGATATATTTTGATTTTCTAAAAGGAAAACAGATCAGACAGCTTCGAAAATTATTTCATGTAGACAGTGGGTGCACGTGTATATCGGTCCGAGAAAATGATTATTTGCTTTGATTGAAAATTTTAGTTGTTTGTTGTTTCTCTTCATTTTTTTTGCTAATGGTTGTGTGATCGATAATTGACTCAATGATTTGCTTGCCATTTCGATCTGCTCCTGTGACACTACAATGCTTTGTCGTTTTTCTGTTGCATTTCTTTTCTTGTTGATCTTTTCATTAACAGTAGACGATCTCTGACCAGTTTGAAAATAAATAACATTGAAATACAGATAGTTTCGTGGTATTCTGAGCCTACCTCTATTGTTGCCCATGACACATTTGTGGCCGATTCTTTCGGGTCGATGGGATTGTTATTCGATGTCGACTGGTGATTTAGCGCATTGTGGTTGTCGAGGTTTGCATGTTCCATTTCCTGATGAATATTTACTCGGTTACGATTACGTCTTCGAATACGTTGTTGTTTCAAATTCCCGTGGCATCTTTTCCTCCCTTTCCGTTGTGTTGTTTGTTCGCAATCTATTGGTAATTGTGACTGATTTCCAGATACAGCATTGTCTGCGCAACATTGAGAAGAAAAAGATGATTTTTTTTTATGATTATTCATGGTTGAACTAATGAAGCAGCATGTATATAAATTACCAATGTGAATGAATAGATTATACTGATGAGAATCTGAAACGAAACAATAAAAACCAATGTGACATAAGCAAAAAGACCGATTTTTGTCTAATTTAATTATTCCAATACAAATCGACTGTTATCTATGTGAAAGGTTAAGTCTTGATTAAATATCAACAATCAAAATGGTATCATCATATAACAGTTTGAAGTCTCGGTTATTTAATAGTTTTGTTGAAAGCTCTTCAACTGTTTATTTTATGAAAGCGGAAATTCTAATTAATATAGACCATTGTCAGTATCGAATTGATTCGTTATACATACTATATCTGGCTTTATATTAATAGGCAGAGTTCCGTATGAATTATTTTATGTAGGGCGAACGATGAATTCAAAAGTTTTCTACATCTTTCGTTTCATGATAGAAAATAAATTGGTTTTCTAGTTTATATGTAGACATAAAAGTACTGAAGGTTTTCTTGTCTATTTCCCGAGTGTGGCCGACGCCCATAACGTTCTATTATGCGATTGCTATGTGACTTCTTTTTCTTTGAATCCTACTGCACAGCCTGCATTTCCGATACTTGAATACTTCAGCATTGTTTATATTGCCGTTCACATTCTAGGACATACCGCAGCGATACACAGAAAATGATTGGGTTCTAATAATTACGTTTCATTTCATGAAGCTAAGCACATTAATCCGATATATATATATTTATCGTAGATATCAGTTTATTTCAGAGGAAGAAATGTCATGACTATGATGATCTTTCAGTCATCACAGCATGTAACAAAAGCTGTACGTATATTAATAGGCTGTTACAAAAACGAATCAAGTAAAGTTTTCATGAACTTTTAGTTATCGGAGGAAGAATGACAACTATATAACTATACTAACATATGTTATCTCTTTTTATGTTCCCTTAGAAAACTTCAAAATGTTCATTTTCTGAAGTCCTTCACTCCGTATAGTCATAGATGAGGCTTTGAATATTTTAGAAATGATGCATTCCCTAACTCATTTTCTATTTCGTGAGCTTCTATCATTGGTTGATCGTACCTACTTCCATCTCGAGATGGTGTCATGAATGGATTCTATGAATGCTCCGTATTAATCGTTGTCAGACATTAACTACTATTTTGCTCACTCAAACGACGATTTATCTGTACTCTACCTGAATGATGTATACTGGTTTAGTCGAGAAAAATAATTGTACGATTAAAACGCAAATTGTAACTGGACCAATAAAATTTTGTATAGATGGTGTACAGTTAGACTAATTTGTGTGGATAAAATAGAAACAATATGTAAAAGAAAATATAGTATCTACTTTCAAAAATATTTTCATAGGAAAAAGCTTTCATCAGACTGTTCACAAAAGAAAACAAATATAATTCTGTTAAACAACAAAGCTAAAACACAATACAACAGGAACGAGTCTATTCCTCATCTGATGTGCATGGGCTCTCGACGATAATTGGGTCTGGTACCAGTATAACTTCAACAGTATTATCATCATCATCGTCAGCATCGGAACATGGTGGTGTTTCAACTATGATGATATGAGTTTCGAAGTGTAAAGCAACACTTTCAGCATCATCATCATTATTGGCATTCAGATTGCCCTCTTCTGCACCTTCCATTTCTTCATCGATTTCTGGCTCTTCGTCACTTCCTTCTTCCTGATTGACGGATATACTATCCATTTCTGGTGTATGATCTTCATTAAACATGTAATAAAAGTCCCAGAAATCATCAAAAGCTTCACTTGATGACATCGCTTCAATTGACAATACTGACACTGTATCACTGTCGTTCTCGTCACCATTATGGTCATCATTATCGCTTTCAAATGCTATTTGTTAAGCACATACAATGTAAAAAATAATTATGTTACGGAAAAGTGAGTTCTCTTACGTATTTCAAATTGGCACAATAGAACATCATTATAAACAAGTTCGTCGATACCAGTTATAGCATGCATTGAATGAGCTTTGAACGATCTGAAATAACACAACGAACGCAGTTACATGACTTTTTATTGCCTTTTTATAATTGGATCCCTATAGCAGCCGTTGTGTTTCTGGTGATATGACAGAAAATAGTTTTAATGTAGAATTGGAACATAAAACTATTCCTATAAATCATCATAGAGTAGGGGTACATCTCATAACAGTAATCCTTTATCGTTCAGCAGTTTAACTCTGAAGTAAACTTCAACATTTATAGAGAAAAATGTTGATGAATATATTGATTGAATATCTATTTTCTCCGTATCCATGAATTGTGACTAACACTTCGAAACGGCAAATTCAGATGATATTTCCCATCACGGAAGATAAGAATATCTGAAATGAAAAGAAAATGTTAAATTTTATTATGCTCAACAATTATAGAACTTGTCTGAGCTGTTTTTTTATTATATTTATGGTCTAGGTATAACTGATGGTTCGTGAATAGTTAGAGTCACACTATAATTGACACCGTTTTCCTCATCAACTGTCCATTGAAAGTTAAACCAATAAGGAGACTGATGATTTGGCCGTGTGAGCAAGCGACGAATGATCGTATCAATTGCATTAACCAGGGGTGGATGGGGGTGTGGGTGGGTGTGGGTGTGGGTGTTG